TATTATTATAAGAATTACAAATCTGTATCAATAAATTAAAATAATACATCATGTTGCTTCATGAACCTTCTTGAATAAACATCTAAAAACTACACGATCACAAATTAAAAATATTTTTGGATAGGTATCCAACTTGATTCTTATTTTGGATAACGTACTTTCAGAACTTTTTTTTGGTACCTAAGATGTAAATTTTTAACATTTAAGTACCCAGATAATCGGTTGAAGCATTAACCGGTTATCCGGGTACTTAAATGTGTAAAACTTTACATATTAAGTATCAAAATGGAAGTTTTAAAAGTACGTTACCTAAAATAAGAATAAGTTAAAATACGTTATTTTTTCATACAATTTGTCCTATAAAAAATATAGGAACGAGAAGAGAGGGATAGTATTTTTGTAATTAGTAAAAGATATAGCATATTTTGTTGTATTGGGTACATTAAGGTTTAAGCATAGAAACTCAAATTTTTCTTGGAATTTGATATCTTTTTGTTTAAAATTTAAAAAAATCTCAAAAAATTAATTAAATACTTCATTAGTTGATCTGTTTAAAAAATATTTAATTGATATAAACGATGTAACAATTACACCTTTAAATGATCAATTATGAAGTCATATATGAACACACGTACAAGCGTGCGCACACACACACACACACACACATATATATATATATATATATATATATATTAACACAGACATACAACTATATGAGTCACATGATTATAACTATGAACTTATTACATTGGAATCGAAGGTCATAATATCATCATTTTAATTTTGTCCTTCAAAAACTGTTTTATTGCAGTTACTCCAGATCAAGTAGGATATTACCCAAATTTACTTGCTAAATCATTTAAGCAACCTTGAAAACGAAGTGCCACTAGATCATTTAAAATACGGTTTGTTATTCCCCAAATTGTTGTTGAAACCCCACCATTTCTAAACCAATCTCCATTTTTTCATTTCAAACTTATATCCCACGAAACAATGATCTAACGTAACTTGCGTTTATAAATAGGGTAAAGAACCGACTCGGAGTCTTCAAGTCACTTCACATGAGAATTTAACCAATTAAAATGATACTAGAAGGGTACTCGCGAAATGCAGCAAGATAAATCTCGATTTTTGTTGTCTCTGAGAATATAATACGATTTTATGTGGTTTTAAAAAAACGATAATGTTTTTATTTTTTGTATGAATATAAATTTGAAAATAACATAATTTGAAATAAATAAATATTAGTATCAAATTAACTATTTAATAGTTCTTATTTTTTTGTGTAACTTTTTTAATTTAATTTTTTATTATAACTTAATAGATTTAATTAAAAAAATTATTTTTGATTTAATAATATAATTTTTTATAAAGATAATAATTAAACATTTGTTAGAACTCAATAACTATCTTAATTATATTTTAGGTTTTTTATATTTAAAATAGATGTTTGTTCTGTATTTGATTATGTTTCTCTGCAGTTAGTTACACGAATTTAAAAATGAAACTTTAATAAGTTGTACTTATACAAAATTACTTGTAATCTTGAATTTTAAGTAATATGTATCAATAAAGAGTACTTCATGTATAAAAAATATTTTTAAGAGTTTTTGTCAAATGCTTTATGAAATAGTATAAATTTATATTTAAGAAAAAATACTAACAATTTTAAAATAATATTTAATAAACAGTTAATTACAGATTTGGTCCATGTGGTTTGGTGATTTTTACGAAATATGGTCTCTGAACTTCATTTATTATAGATTATGACTTGTTGTATGTCGTTTTGTAACGAATTAGTCTCTCTCTCTTTAATAAAAAGTTCAGGGACCATTTTCGTAAAAACCATTAAACCATATGGACCAAATTCGTAATTAACTCTTCAATAAACAACTAAATATTTAAAACAATAATTAATGGAAGTTTTAAACATATAATGATGCAACCGATAACCCGAACACTTAAAATTTTACATTTTAAATACTAAATTGAAAGTTTCAAAAATACATTATCTATACTATCTTATAAAGCAAATTTAACAAAAGTCTTAAAGTCTTAAAATACTAAATGACCAAGATACCCTTTATATTACTTTTTCACTTTTTCACTTTTTCACCCATTTCTCTCCTCATATACACTTACTCCCTCACTTACATTCACCCTCTCACGATTTTTTTTAAATTATAATTTTAAATTTACACTTTATACCCCTATAATTAGTTAATTAATTTACTTTACGTCATTTACTTTTAAATGTTTCATTTTAAACATTTATCAAATTAATATACATAATCGTATATCAATTAAAACATGTTTAAAAAATATATTTTTATTTTAACAAGTTACACCATTGTAATCGTCTCGTTAATACCTTCGAAATGAGTCCAATATTGAATAGTTTTTGACTTAATTATATTATTATATGTTATATATACTGTGAAAAAATATTTTTAATATTTACGATTTGTACTTTTATAGTTGTTTATATATATATATATATATATATATATTATATATTTTGGGGTTAGGCTGTCCAAATTGCACTGTATAATATGTTATGAATTAATATGTTCTTGGGTTTTTTTGATATATATATATATACATGTATTAATTCAACCTTAATCTGAGTTTCTAGACAAGAAAAAGAGTAAGCAGTTGAAATTTCATTATAAAACCCATCTTTTTTGGTCTTTTCATGGCTTATGATCTGTCAAAATTGTAGTTTTCTTTATTGGTTTTGAATGTTTATCTTAAAACTCAAGTTTCTTGGTTCTTTGCTCTTGATGTAAATCAAACACATTTGTTGAGTCGTTTAAATATGTTAGATTTTAAATATATTGGATTTTAAACTGTCATACAGTTTTTTTCATCGATAGTCTGTAATTGGAACCATAACTCTTATTTATTCAAATTGTATTAATATTTAAAGACCAAATGTAACATATATCATCGTTAAATCTTATCTTATAAAACCAGTGGAACTTCAAAATCGTTAAAATTCATGGCTCCCGCCGCATTGCGCGGGTACACAACTAGTTCAAAATAAAAATCAATTTAAACTACGTTAGGGGTTGTTTGTTTACCTCTTAATAATTCAATTAAAAGACAACATCTGAATCATTAAGAGATGAATCTTATTTGACAAAAAAAAGTCTGTCTCTTAATGGTTGTAAAACTCTCTAAATAATTTTGTATCATGAGTCTCTCTTAATCATTAAGCATCCTGATTTCATTGAAAATAATTACCAAACAATTATATTTTATTTTGCACTATATCATGAAAGTATCTTAATCATTAAGCGTCCTGATTTCATTGTAAATAATTACCAAACAATTATATTTCATTTTGCACTATATCATGAAAGCCTATTAATCATTCTACACTAAGGGTGCGTTTGGTAATCTGGACAGAGTGGGACAGGACAGGACATAATACATTTGTCCTACGTTTGGTGTGGCTAAATGTGGAACTAAGTTGGACAAGCATGGGACACGCGTGTTCTCTCCTTACCCCTGGAACTAAGTGGAACAGAGACATTTTTACTTGAATACCCTTCCCCCTTTCTTCCCCACATCGCACMCTCAATCGRCGCCCCTGCACACTCTTTCTCCGCCACTCCATCGCACGAAATCGTTTCTCCTCCCCATCGGCGACAATCTTTCTCCCTTTCTTCCCCAAATTTCCCTCCTATTTCCAGCGACAAAAACAAAGAGTCTCTGAGTCAAGTGAGCCCACCACCGGCGGCTACCAACAACTCACCCTAGCGACCGACGGCCAGGTTCAACCGGAGAGAAAGATGGTGACCCAAAAAGGAGACAGAAAGAATCTGTTAGCCATCACCGGAGCTGCAGCCTTCATAGCCGTCGCCGTCAAGTTCGCTATCGATGCTATTAACTCAAAGAAAAACCAACTCAAGAAGAAAGGTATCTTTCTCTATTCGATGTATTACTTTCCATTTGTAGTTCATCTACCTGCGTCGTTGTCATGTGGAAATTTAGTTGAATTTTGTTTAATTCAATGTTTGTAGATCTTTGAGGCTCCAATGGTAGGGCTAATCTTTCGATTTTGCTGTTTTGAATAACTATATCTAAAACAGCAAGGGCAATGGGTTCTTCGATTTCGATCGTGTTCTTCGTTTTAATCGATATATATGATGTTCTATGAGTGATTTGGATTAGCATCTTTTCGATTTCGATTTTGTTGTTTTCTACTTCGTAGTGATGCTTGCATGTGTTCTTCGTTAGGGGTAAATCGGTCATTTTAACCAGTCTTGTCTTGTCCTGTCTTACCAAAAGCTGAACAGCTGTCCTGTCCTGTCCTGTCTACGCACCAAACGCACCCTAAGGGGCTGTTTGACAATTGTTGAATGGTTTGGTGCAGAATGATTAAGTGGTCAGAATGATTAAGAGGCTCTCATGATATAGTGCAAAATGAAATATAATTGTTTGATAATTGTGTACAATGAAATTAGGGCTCTTAATGGTTAAGGGAGATCCATGATACAAAATCATTAAGAGGGTTTTAGAACAATTAAAAGACAGACTTTTTTTTTTGCCAAACAAGATTTACCTCTTAACGATTCAGAGGTTGTCTCTTAATGAAACTATTAAGAAGTAAACAAACAATCTTTAAATCATTCAACAACTGTCAAAACAAGTCCTTAATTTTTTAAAAGATCCATAATTAGGTGGTTGCATAAAGGAATAAAAGAGACAATAATTCGCTGAGAATCTTTATTAATTGTGGCGCTGGAGTCGCACACCTGTCTACATGAGACTCTTAAACGCATCATGGAACTCACCGCCTTTCTTTTAATCAATTTTCACGTTAAATTATGAACCTTTTTATATATTTAAATAACAAAATTACAAAAATAATCATTTAAAAAAAAAAACACTTATTTATTTCATAATCATCGAATTTTCCAATTTTTATATCAACTCTTTTCCACTTTGGGAGACAGCATCCAAATTGTTCCTTCCTTCCTTTTCTTTTTCAAAAGAAAATTTGGGACGATTCACTTTTTTAGGTTTCTGTTGAATACAAATTTGTGGGTTATGATCTGGATTTGGGTTGCTTTCCAACCAAGATGAATCCCCTCTTCTGATTGTCTTGTCAACAAGAGGAATTGATGAGGATGAACCAAACCCCCTTTTTGATTTCTTGTTTCTGATTTGAAATCATCGATCATCATTTCACTTTCTCTTCTGTTCTTTCATCCTTTTCTTTTTAATCCAACTATCCCCTCTTAAATTAGAGTAATCCCAAAGTTTCCATAATTCTACTCTCTTTCTCTCTCTGTTTGTTATTTTGTGTGTGTGTCAGTGTGTGTGTCAGAGGGAAAGAGGCTGATTGCATGCAATTGAATCCGTTTTTTCTTATTTCTATCCAGTTTTGGCTCACGGGGTTAGGGATTTTGATTCTTTTCATTCGATTCCCACAACCGATTCTGATACAGTTTCATACCCCCAAAACCTTTTCTCTGTGTTTTCGACTGCGTGTGAGATTGATAGAGCCAAAGGGGATTTTGAATTTTGATTGATTGACTGCATGCAATCATCTGCCTGATTTGAATTTCGATCAAGAATCTGAATTTCTGCATAGAGTTCAGGTGAGATATTGTTTTTTTTATTTGTTGAATTCAATCAAAATTCATCTGCTTCTTGTTTTCGTCAATATCTATGCTGGAGCCTCTGTTATTTTCAGTCGTTTGAATTCAACTGAAATGGATATCTGAGTTTGCATACTGTTCTTGGATCTCAAATGGATTTATCGAATTTGAAGCATTTGAGATTCTTTGGGCTTCGTTTGACTTCTCTACTCTCCAAAACCTTCTTCTTGATTGCAATCGCGTTCATATTTCGAACCCTTTTACTCCCCAAATCTTTCGAATTTGGTGGGATTAAACTCCATGAACAGGGTTTATCAGGAATGAAATCTGGGAATCTCAGAATGAAGTTTTTAGAGGTACCCCAAATTGTTTGGGGATTAAACAACCAAAAAATTGCTTTTGCAAGAGCTTGTTTAACTGCAAGATTGCTAAACAGAACCCTTCTTATGCCCAGCTTAAGTGCATCTTTGTTTTATAAAGAAATCGATCAATTAGAACCCATTTCATTTGATAAGGTGTTTCAGTTTGAGAAATTTAATTCACTGTGTAAAGGGTTTGTCCAGCTGGGTCGATATTCCGATCTCCATAACCAAAGTGACATCATTGTGGTTCAAAAGGGTAGCGGTAGACGATGGACGGTCAAGCGAGATCTTGATCAGTTGAAAGAATTGAACAAGAACACGGTTGATGAACCGGAAACCGTCCGAATAGTTGGAAAGAACCCGTTTCTATGGCATGATCATTGGCCTGTTAAAGATTACGCCAAGGTGTTCAAGTGCTTAGTTCTAGTAGACGAAATCTCAAAAGAATCCGATAAAGTTGTAGCCAAGATAAGAGAGTTGGGAAGTGGATCAAATACCGTTTCTTCTAATGATCGAGTTCCATACATTGCAGTCCATATGAGGATCGAAAAAGATTGGATGATACATTGCAAGAAGCGAGAGCAACGATCAAATGTATCGGACATTTGTAGTAGTAAAGATGAGATCACAACTAGAGTAAGCAAGATTCCGGGCCTGAAAACGCCTATGGTTGTTTACGTTGCTGTAGCCGATGCACTTCTTGAAGACGGTTCGATCTTGGACGGTTGGAGCCAAGGTCTGCAGCCGGTTGAGAAGAAGAAACTGGGTGTGGTAGAGATTTACAAGAAACATCCATATCTGATTCAGTCAGCAATCGATTACGAAGTTTGTTTAAGAGCGGATGTGTTTGTGGGGAACAGTTATTCGACATTTTCGAGCCTGTTGGTTCTTGAAAGGACGGTGAGATCGGGAGGGTGTGGGACGTCGGATCATGTAAGATCTTATGCTTACAATCTGAAGGGGGAGCACGGAGGTCCGCGGCCATGGATGACAAGTTTATCGGATTCAAGCTTAGAAGCAATAAGTTATGGATCCAACAACATTTCATGCTGATTGGTTAATTAGACATGGTGATGAATGATTCTTTTTGTAAACATGGATAGATAGGTATATTTGTATATTTCATATATGGTTTGACGTTAAATATGATGAACATGCATGCCAGTGGCTCAGAGTTGCCTTTAAAAAGTAGACTACCAATAATTTTCGATTTTACACCATGATTTTAAGTTAATTTAGAAGTTACTGATCTAATTTATTTCTTTGGGCTGAGGTGTTACAAAGTGATATAAGATTTGATCGTCATGCCACTGAGATGGTGTGGAAATCTCATCGAGGACGATGAGTTTCTAAGGGGGTGTTTTTAACATGTTAAAGAATCATATATCATTAATGAACAAAAACATGTTCGATATGGAAAGTAGCCTGCCCTACTAAAATAACGCATATTAAAATCGTGAGCCTCGATTGCTATAAGGTACGTACGTGAAGAGGGCCCCTTAAAAGGAATTAGCTTAATGGATAGTTCTAAAAACAAAACAAAAAAAGATTTTTTTTTTTATGTTGAATGACGGCTTAAATGACAAAAATACCATTTTAAACTTTGAACAAAATGTGTATCGAGGTGGGGCTAGTGGCGACGACAACCTGTTTAGGGGGTAGGGTAGTGGGGAGGTGGGAGTGCAACGTGGTTTAGGGGGTGCGAGATGGGATGGGTATCGAGAGGGGGTAGAATGACGGGTGGGGATGGGCAAGACAGGGCGGTGGAAGTAGGGTGCGGGGGCGAGATGAGGGTGCACCCACCCACATGGTTGGTGATGGTGGGTGCGAGAGGGTAGGGTGGGGATGGGCCGAGGCAGGACTAGTGGGGTTCAGGGGGTCACCCCCTTGGCGCCATCCACCTACGTGGGTGGTGGGAGCGAGGCGGGAAGGAGGCTGCCACCCACCCACCCCCACAAACTATGCTACTACAGTCATTGTCATCGCTACCACCTCACCCCCAAACGCATGGTCAAATTCCATTCAAGTTCCTTCAAAGTCAAATTCATTTGATGGATTCCAATTCCACCTATGAACCAACTAGTAGATTGACAATCTATAATCAGGGATTTTATTACATGCTAACTTTTTAGGAAAATAGAGAAATAAAAAGTTTGGTGATTTTTTGAATTGGTGGATAGGTCCATTATATGTGTTATTGTTCTTCTAAATGATTACTTAGTGCTCTATATTTTCATTTTCTTTTTCCCATTCTTTAGCACAATTAAATATTTCTATTTTGTTGTAAATGAATTATGATTATGGAGGTAACTTACATTACTAGAATAATGAGTATTTTTAGCGGACGAAATCCGCCGGAAATATACAGGCGGATTTCCGTGAGACAACAAAAAAGTCAACTTATATTGACTTCCGCCGGTAAAATTATTCTGATATTATTTCCGGCTGATTTATGGCGGAGTTCGTAATTAATTATTTTGGGCTTGTATTTAAATCTAATTACAATAATTTACCGGCATATATTTAATTTAGTTATGGAGGTATTTATACTACTTGATATCATATTCATTTATCATGGATAAAGAAGTATAATTCTAACAAGTTGGTTGTAGATTGAACATGAGAGTTGAAAATGTGTTCATCCACAATTAATGCATTTCAATTATTCACAACACTCCCACTTGGATCACAATTTTCACATCAAGCTTCAATATTGAAGTACTATTCCGTTAAACTTGTTAAAGAAAACTTAACGGGAAAGATATTTAGCCAAGTGAAAAATAATGCAGCGTGTAGTTGATTCCCCCTTATGTTGACACCCACAAACCATTACGTCTTCTAAATACGTTGCATTCCGATATCGAGAACAATTTTTTTCTAGAAATTTGACTTCGAGAACAGATTTTGGTAGACTGTATATATTTAATATCAATCTGATTATCTTTTACAAGATCTTGAGTGCGGTGTAGGGGGGAAGATTTTGGAGGTATATGTTTTGTCTTGTCATCCTTAATGTATTGTTCTTTCATTTGTATGACACAAATTGTTGTGTCTTTGTAGATTAAAGTTAAAGAGTTTTGTCGCTCTCTATTTCGGATGAAGTCAAAATGAGTTGTATCACTCAGATTGATCTCAACCGAACAAACTCTCCACTAGTTTCATGTAGTACAATAATTTTAGTATATGAGTTGAAGATGTGACAACAAATGTTTGTTTCCAAATAATGCCAAGAAATTGGGGTACCTCCATTTATGGATACAAATCAAGTAATGCACATGCTTTATTTTTACCCATATAAAAGATCTTTGTAATTTGATTGAATACATTTCCTTCGGTTTTGCACTTAATGCTTTAGGCTTCATTATACCCTTTAGAAAATTATATATACATATATATATAGAGAGAGAGAGAGAGAAGCTATTATGCAACCCTTTACATTTGTACAACCAATACAACTCAATCTCAACCGTCCATTTAAGTTGATAAACATGTGATTTCATAAAAGTTTTGATTGTTTCCTAATATAAAGTATTGATCACAATTAATGAACTCTAGTCATTTTTCATAAATATTTAAATCATAATAAATGAATTCTCATCATTTCTATAAATATCTTAATTAATTGAGTTGCATTGGTTGTACAAATGAACATGGTTGCATTTGAAATATACCATATATATATATATATATATATATATCATTGTAAAATTATCCATACAAATAAACTGTAACAATATGTAAAATTATCCATACAAATAAACTGTAACAATATGTCCAAACACCTTTCATATATTGAGTGAATTTTATTTAGGGGTTGTTTGTTTATCTCTTAATAGTTTAATTAACAGGCAGCTTCTGAATCATAAAGAGGTGAATCTTGTTTGACAAAAAACAAAAAATTTGTTTCTTAATGGTTCTAAAATCCTCTAAATAATTTTGTATCTTAGACATCCCTTAACCATTCAGTACCTTAATTTCATTGTAACAATTATCAAACAATTATATTTCATTTTGCATTATATTATGAAAGTCTCTTAGTCATTCTGACCACTTAATCATTATACACCAAACCATTCAGCAACTGCCAAACAGCCCCTTAGCTTGAATAACCTCTTAAGTCTTTCCATTGTACCTGGTCATGTCTGTTTTTATACTCAATGACAGATTATGTTTCGGGGCCGTCATTTCCATTCAGAAAATCGTATGCAACAATAAGAAAATATATAATCAATATTACTCGTTTCATTTCAATTTCGTAATATTCTTGTATGATCACAATTAACTACATTTTTATTAATATCATTCATATTTTCATTTGAAAAAAGTTTTAATATTTTATGTTCCAATTGGAACACTTCTTCGTGATCAATTGCAATTTCTTTTCCAAGGATTTTTATCCTTAGAACAAAATGGAATATTATATTCATGGGTTTTAGAATGTACCAAGAAATCTATCGAGCACATCGAACTAGTCGAGCCCTCTCCCATCAAGTTTCGTTGAAACACATCAAACCTCATTGAGTCCTTCAATAACTCGTCAAGTGTTGTCAATGTCGTCAAGTCATCAAGTCCCGTCGAGCAATGAGTCCCATAAAGGCTACCGAAGGTGAGTGTTGACGGGGGAGGAAGAAGAATGGTTCTAACGAGGGAAGAAGGGTTTTTGGTGAATGTCGACAGAGAAGATGGTTTCACTAGAAAAAGTGAATGAGGGCGTATCTAGGATATTTTTGTCATTAAAAAGGATATTTATAATGTATAAAACTAAGGGGTTGTTTGTTTACCTCTTAATAATTCCATTAAGAGATAACCTCTGAATCGTTAAGAGGTGAATCTTGTTTGGCAAAAAAAAATTTGTCTCTTAATGGTTCTAAAACCCTCTGAAAGATTTTGTATCATGGATCTCCCTTGACCATTAAGAACCTTAATTTTAGAGTACACAATTACCACACAATTATATTTCATTTTATACTATATTATAAGAGTTACTTAAGCATTCTGCACCAAACCATTCAGCAATTGCCAGACTCAAACATAGAAACTCACATTTCACTTCTTAAACTATACCCCAAATATGTCATATGAATGTTTACTTTTTGAATAAATTACGAATTTGGTCCCTCCTGAACTTTATTTATTACAAATCAACCCTTGTTGTGTGCATTTCGTTTTGGACCTTCACCATGATGTATGTTTATTTGCTCCGATTAAGTCCCCTCACATGCACTTCACACGATTCACAAGGACATTCTTGTCCTTTTAGCTTTACCCAAATCAAAACCATAAGAGCATCTCCAACAACTACATAATTAAAATTTTGATGATTTACTAGAGTTTTGTGTTCCAACAACTATGCCACACGGCCTGAGGGCGTTTACCACATGGCAAGCCAGTGATGCTGGGATCTTAGAGTGAAGCACGGTGGACCATGGCTGGGAGTGGACTCGGCAGAACCTTAGGCGAGCTTGGCTGCGAGTAGGGCCCCGATAAGATCGCCAGCACATTGTTCTTTGGCTCTTTTCCTTGGTTTTTGTGCTGAAACAAAAAGGGATGCATAATCAATTTAGTAGGGTTCTATTAAGCTTAGAAGACCATAAAATTGAAACGTATTTTGTCACATAAATATATAAAATATGGTCCATGTCAATCTGTTAGAGAAAGGATATCGTCGTTAGGGAGGGTGACAGAGTCGAGGATGTCGGTGTTGCCGAAAAGCCTTAACGATATCGGGGTTGGCATCGAAGAACCCAATACAATCGATGACGGTGAGGAACTTGAGAAAGTGAACAGCCTGAGACGACAGGTGTTTGTGTTGTCATAATATTTTTTTAAATATATAATATTTATACATGGCAAATACTCGTTTTGTACCTTTTCACCCTCTTAGGAAGCTGGGCTCTATCATACCTCTAGGACAGTAACGCTCAGTATAGATGATGAGATTTATAGCAATAAGCATAGATGCAATGCCGAAACAACAAACAGATGTCCGTCCCAGAACAAACACAAACTTCCAAGTGAATGTTTCGTGCATAACTAGGAGAAATGTTATCTACTTGAAAGTGACGTGATACGGCAACATTGTAAAGTGAGTCACTTGAAATAATCATATATATATATATATATATATGTATGTATGTATGTGAAGTAAGAAGTCCATACCTTGGAACTAAAGAAATGGAGGTGAGCATGGCAATGGTGATGGGTGTTGGATTGGTCCTGCTGCTGCTGATTCTAACACGGGCCTTGCTTCGTGCAAGTGCTTTCCCAAAGGAAATGGATGGCATCCCAGGTAGCCTTGGTTGGCCATTTGTAGGAGAGAGTTTGTCCTTCATATCTGAATTTTCAAGTCCTGCTGGTATTTTCAGTTTCATGAACAAAAGGCAACAAAGGTAATCAATCTCATATCAATTGCAATTGAAATTTGTTGCTTGCTGATACCAATTAATTAAACGTAGATACGGAAAAGTGTTTAAGAGCTATGTTCTAGGACGGTATATGGTGTTTACGACTGGTAGGGAAGCAAGTAAGATGTTATTAACAGGAAAAGATGGGATGGTTAGCTTGAACCTGTTCTACACCGGTCAGAAGGTGTTGGGCCCCAATAGTTTGCTTCAGCAGAACGGTGAAGACCACAAGCGCCTCAGACGTCTTATTGCTGAACCCCTCTCCATTGACGGCCTCAAGAAATATTTCCAGTTCATCAACACTCTGGCAGTTGAAACATTTGATAAGTGGCCAGGACAAAAAGTCCTGGTTCTTGAAGAGGCTTCAACAGTTGAGTTTTAACATAATCAAAAATATATATGCTTATTAATTATGTTTCTATAACGTAATTAGTTTTATTCATTTTGTAATTGCAGTTCACCTTGAAGGTTATCGGCAACATGATAATGAGCTTAGAGCCTACTGGGGAGGAACAAGAAAAATTCCGAGACAATTTTAAAATAATTTCATCCTCCTTTGCATCCTTGCCCTTTAACGTTCCAGGGACTGCCTTCTACCGTGGTATGAAGGTAACTAAAACACATAGTCCTTCAAATTTTGAACCATGTAACGATCTGTTCTGATGCCAGATCATATAATGTTATCAGGCTCGCGATAGGATGTTTGAGATGTTAGACACGATCATAGCAAGACGAAGAAATGGAAATGACTTCCAACAAGATTTCTTAGGGTCGTTGATTAAGAAGCATAGCAAAGAAGGGAAAGACGACGATGAAAAACTGACGGATGCACAAATGAAGGACAACATATTAACACTGCTAATCGCGGGTCATGACACAACAACTGCTGCCCTTACATGGCTCATTAAATTCCTGGAAGAAAATCCCGCAGCCTTGGATAAACTCAGGGTAAGACTCATACTTTAAATGATATAATTAATTAACTTGTTATAAATCAATTTAGTGATAAAATCTGTAAAATTATCAGGAGGAGCATATGGAAATCCGGAGTAAGAGAAAACTTGAATCAGGTCTCACCTGGTCTGAAGTTAACAACATGCCTTATACAGCGAAAGTACGTACGCATTTTTGTGCCTGCGAATAATGTTAGCCGTAAGACGATTATGATGTCAAACAATCTATTCTTTCATCGATGTTGTTCAGGTAGTTAGCGAGACTCTACGAAGAGCAACAATCTTACCTTGGTATTCCAGAAAAGCTGCACAAGACTTTGAGATCAATGGTACGTAAGAATTCTCAAATCTATTATGCAACAGATTGAACAATCAATGTTTTCTCAACTCTTCAGGATACAGTATCAAGAAAGGTTGGTCCGTGAACTTGGATGTAGTGTCTATTCACCATGATCCACAAGTTTTTGCTGACCCTCATAAATTTGATCCATCTAGATTTAATGTAAGCATAGCTTGCTCATCCCATTTTCATACTCTTCTACTTCTTGGTAGCATTTTCTCATGCAATTTGCTTTCAATTAATAATTTCAGGATCACTTAAGACCTTTCAGCTTCCTTGGGTTTGGTAACGGACCACGTATGTGCCCTGGAATGAATCTGGCCAAGCTAGAAATCTCCATTTTCATTCATCACCTTGTCTGCAGATACAAGTAAGTTGATCAAATTATATATGATACTTTAGAGTTAAGATACCACATAAAGCACAAGAAATACCAAAAACTTGAAAAAGAGAATGACCAACACAAAGTTGAGACTGAAATATGACCTATTTGCAGGTGGAAAGCTCTTGAGAAAGATGACTCCGTCCAGCCAACACTTGTCCGGATGCCAAAGAACAAGTACCCGATCTTTGTCGAGCTGCTGTAGTGAATTTCCTTAAATGAACTTAATGGAACGAAAGCTAAGGATGACAATAAACAGAAGTGATAACAGCCAAATAATTATGTTTTGCCAACTTTTTATTAGAACTATCTACCATTATTGCATTTGATCAGTCAAAGTTTATTTCTAAAGCAAACCTTCTTCATTCCTTAAATCCCATCACATTTACAGCAGATTGACGACATACTATTCACACAATTAAACATAAGTAGAAAGTGAAGCTATGATATAGAAATAAGAATAATATTTATTGACAAAGTCCTGAACTTACATAAGCTGAAGAACGGTAGAGCGTCTGCCCAAATAAACTGAATCGCTTGTCAAGAGGACACAAACAACTCTCTTTTCCTATATCTGCAGCTGGTGGTTGTCGATGCCAACGAATTATAAACCTATTCAAGCCAATACAAAGTGCTTTGTATTAGTGGTAAACAGGGGGGTTGAATTTTTACTAGAAATAACAAATGAACAGCGATGACTTAAGAATGCAGATTATAAATGATTCAAACACCGGAAATATTTTCAGGTTCAGTTCAAAACAAATGATCATAGATGGTTAAGATGTAACAGTTAAAATCAATTTCCAAATCAAATTATAGTCGTTAACAAGCTCTAATGAACCGTTTTTTCATATATCTTTAATAATCCAAACAAGCTCTTCAATTAAATTCTAAATCAGCAACTGGTTCCAATCGTAAACATATAAGCTCGGCTTACTTAAATTGGATGATACAATCTCATAACATAGTTTTGATAACCACATCGAAATCAAACATGTTATTTTTCGTCATTTGGATCGAACTCCCAAACAAGGTTGGCAAACCCTTGTTTGAACAATCAATTCAGACAATCATTGTTTGAAAATGGTAATCGTCAAGTCAGAGATAAAAAGTCAACCAAAATGCAGTCTCTCGTCTACATTGAATCAAACCCTAATTAAAACCCAGAATAATAAAATTAGCTGCTCATGCTAAAAGTCAAAATAGAATTTACCAAATGAATAAACAACGAGAAAGAAATTGAAGTCAAATGGCGTATATTCTTCTTCTCCAATCGTCGCCTGCCCAGATATCTCCATGGTTCAACACTCTCCCCTTCTTTCTTCTCTCTTTTCGTTGCCACTGCTGTCCAGACTCTCTCTGCGCCTCTTCCCTGCTCAGCTCTGCTGTCACGTTTATGATGACCCGTTTAAATTAACTTTACAGAACTAGAATGAAATTTGATATCGGATGTTTGAGATTGCTTATTTGAAACAATTTATGTTTTTCTATAAAATCACTTATCAAATTATTACAAGTAAAAAGGGTTTAATTTTTTCAAAAACTTTTTATTATCGGTTTGACACCGGTATAAGTTGTTTATCCAAACAGTTACAAGTGTTTATTACCGGTACCAGACCAGAATAAGTCAAAGTTTTTTTTTATAATCAATCCCAAACATCCCACAAGCCTGACCATGTTTTTAATCAGTAGGAATTGAAATGAAATTAATTAGATTTCATGTTTGTTTGGTGGAATGCAAGTACGATGGTGGTGTAGGTGATGGGTGGTGCCACTTGTGACGTACTGCAGCAGTAGTGTTGTGGTGTGGTGGTGGATGATTGGGATCAGGTCCGGGATGGTAAACGTGACAATGACAGTATTAGCATGGTTGTATGGGATTGGGATGGGGATGGGGATGGGGATGGGGATGGGGGTGGGGGTGCATGGCGGGTGTGACAGTGAACAATAGCGCCGTTGTAGGGGTGAGGTCGGGTAGATGGTGTTTGTTGAATTGGTATATTCTCTTTGTGGCAAAATTATTTCATTTCAGAGGACACGAATTATCAGCATGGAGTTGGTAGAGTGTTGTATGTGTCTTGAGGATTGTTCAAATGACATCCAAAGATACAAAACGAAACAAACACTAGAGGCCACAATGGAAGACGTGGACAAAGTAATCAAACAAATAGAAATCTTTCAAAACATAATGCTCCGTCAACTATCAATACCAACAACACTTATATGACAATGGACAACGACGAGTAGAGATGGCCAAATGGGCCCGTCCCGGCCCGGGACCGCCGGAGGACCGGGACCGGGACCGACAAAGAACCGTCCCGGGACCGGTAAGGACCGGTAAGGACCGGTTATGGGACCGAAAACCGGGACCGGTTGAGGTTTTTGGTAGTTTCGTGGGACCGGGACCGGTTATGGGACCGACTATGGACCGGCCCTGCCCGGCCCGAAAATTCAATTAATTTTATAAATAAATGTATTTTTAAATAATTTTATAATGTATTTTTATAAGAAAACGTAATTTTAATTATATTAAAACGCATTTTTAAAGTGTATTTGAGTGACCCAATTGTAAATTTTATAATGTATTAAAAATATATATCATTAAAAAAAATCTTATTTTTTTAATGAAGGGCCGGTTGGGACCGGGACCGGGACCGGCGGCCCATAACCGGTTATAAAGTACCTATACGGGTCCTATCATTTTCGACCGGGACCGGGACCGGTTATGGCCGGTTATGAGAATGGTGATGACCGATTGGGACCGGCCCGGGACCGGTTTTTGGCCATCTCTAACGACGAGGATGAGATAAAGGAAGAATAGTAGAAGGGTGACGACAATTTAAAAAAAAAAGGCCAGAGACAACATGAAGAATAAAATAAAAACCACGTGACAAAGACTAACAAGACGAGATATCGAGTAAATTAACAATTTTTTTTCATACGTAACAAGCAACAACGTTTGAATGAATATTTCCTCTATCTTGTAACATTAATAATAAAACAAACCTTTTTCATTGTATTTTAATGGCTCGATTTGAAATACAAAATTGTACTTCATTTGATCCAAATTAAATGTCCACATTTCTATTTTAATTTGTTTCAAAATAAGTATCTACTTTCAAAATTAAGTTTTCACTTTTCCATTCTACCTTCTCTATCTATTACCTAAGATAAAATTGACATTTAATTATTTTAATTAAAAATGTACTAATTATACATACTTAAATATGTAAGTCATTTTTACTGTGAACATCTATTTTTAGACTAAGGGGGTGTTTGATTCCCATGAAATTGGAATGTTAAATTTCATTGACCAAATTTCATCTCCTCGTTTGATTCATTTCTTTTTGCGAAAAAAATCTTCAAAATCCTATAAATTTCACAAATAAATGAATGAAATTCTTTATTTTCATAATATCAAATAGGCCCTTAACCTAATATACATTAATCTCATAAAACCCAATATGACCATCGTCGACCACCTTCGACCACCGTCGATCTGAACCACCATCGACCACCACCGATCTGAACCACCGCCGACCTCCGTTGATTTAGTGACGTCGTTTGACTTATGGTTATATCTGGCTTGTGTATTTTATATTGTAATAGATATTAAATATTTATTTTATTAAAATATTTTTAGTTTAAAAAAAATTCAAAAAATGGCATTTTGGTCATTTATCGATATTTTATTTCAATTCCATAACTACATTTTGTGAACCAAATAGACATATTCCAATTTCTTAACAGATTTCATTTCAACGTCTGTCAACCAAATAGATGATCAAACCTGACAATATTTTATTATAATTTCTTCAAAATTAAATTACTTTAACATATTTCATTTCATCCAAAAACATTTTACGAATCAGATTAAAAAAGGGACCAGATATATCACTTTTCTTCACGTGTTGCACCATTTAGTTTTGCACGGACTCACATACCGTAGGCGTAGGAGTGGGTGAGTAAAGATGGGATGGAAGTACGACTGACCTTCATTCGGAAAGGCTTTACAGTTGCTATTGTCTCTTCCTGTGCTTCAATTTATGACCAATTAAATATCACATGCAATATACATGGAACCTAACTAATTTATTATCTAAATGCCTAGCTATTATTTTTCTATTTTAAAATGTATCTACTTTTTATTTATCAAAAATATTTAAGTATTTAGGTAACCGGTTTAACCTTTAGTCGGTTATTAATGTTATGTGACATCCAACTCAATATTATTAACTGACGTGACTAGTGATGTCAGTTAATAATATTGAGTTGGATGCCACATTAGCATTGGTAAACCGGTTAATACTTAAATCGGTTACATTGGTTACTTAAATATTTTCAAAAATAAAGATTTTAAAAATACGTTACTTAAAATAAAAATCAATTCAAACTACGCTATATTTTCATGCAATTTGCCCATTTAAAAACATTGTTATAATGAGATGTAGTAAAACAACTTTTGAAAAATATGAAATTAATTTATATAAACTGTTTTTACTTTATTATAATTGAATATTAAATAACAATTATTAAATTGTAAATATCTATACTATATTATAAAACATTTGATAAAAACTTTTAAAAACCATTTTTTATGCATAAAATATTGTATATTGATGCATATTACTTAAAATTCAAGATTACAAGTAAATTATGCATAAGTACAATTTATCAAATAGAGGATAAACATCTCATTTTAAAATATAAAAAATCTAAAATATAATTAGGATAATTATCGAGTTCTAACAAAATAATTAATTATTATCTTTATAAGAAAATTATATTATTAAACCAAATATAAATTACTTCGTTATTGAACCTAAATTAAATTATAACAAAAAAAATTGAATTAAAAATTTACACAAAAAGTAGGAATTTTAAATAGTTAATTTGATACTAATATCGATATATTTTTGTCAAATTTATATTTTATTCAAAAATAAAAACATCATCATTTTTTTCAAAATCACATTAGATTATACTATAACATCGACCGAAATAAAGAATAAAATGAAATATTAAAATCAAGATATATCTCGTTGTATTGCGCGATTACTCTTATAGTATATATATATATATATATATATATAGAGAGAGAGAGAGAGAGAGGTTGGTTATTATACAGCCCTTGACATTTGTGCAACCAATACAACTCAATCTTAACCGTCCATTTCATTTTATTAATATGTGATTTTATAGATTTTTTTCTTGTATTGATCATAATTAATTAACTATATTCATCTTCCATAAATATTTAAACCATAATAAATGAATTATGATAATTTTTATAAATATCTTAATT